CCCCCCCCCCCCGGCTGTGCAGGAGCAGGGCTCTCTTGGCACGGCGACACAGTCACATGCACATGCAGGGTGCCAGAAACAGCCGCTGCACCTGCCCCTGCCACATGCCCTGGCATCACCAGCACCACCCCCCTCCATGCTTTTGCAAAGCAGTGGGAGGCTGGTGCTGGCAGTGCCAGTGCAGGGACATGTAGCCCCCTCCTGCCAGCAAAGCCAACTCCCACCCTGCCCCTACCTCCAGGGGCTGCAGGGGAGCTGATGCGCCGCACCCCACAGCACACCTGCATCCTTTACCTGGGAGTTTGCAGCAGCAGCCGGGAGCGCTGGCTCTGTGACACCAGGACCAGCCGAATAAACCCCTCCAGGCAGGCAGGAGCCTGCTCTCAGCCACCCCCCTCCTCCCCCCTGTGCAGCCCAGCACGCTGGGAGCTGTAGTTTGCAACCCCATGCCCCCCCCTGCACAGCCAGCCCTGCTCACACTACATCCCCCAGCATGCAAAGGAGACGCTCTGGAGTCTAGTCCCTTCATTGCAAAAAAAAAAAAAAAAAAATCCAATTATTTTGCAACTTGGATGTGCTCAGGGCAGGGATTAAAAAAAAAAAAGAAAAAGCAGGTGGCTGGATTAGGGGCTAGGGGGTCCCCCCCCCTCCTCCCCATCTATTCGTTGGTTTGTTGCTTCAGGTTTTTTCTGCAAGCTGGCACTGCGTGGCAAGCACAGGCTGGAGCAGGGTTATATAAACGCCTCCTGATCTGGGCATGTCCAGCAGGAGCCACTGGATGTCTCCACGGTGGGACCCTTGCACAGACCCAGCAGGTTATTTTTAGTTGGGCTTCAGCTCCTCAGCAGAGGTGATGCCCTGGGAGCCGGCGGAGGAGGAACTCGCAGGAAAGAATGGCCTGCCATTAGGCGTGCATATGTATTTTAGGGAATAGAAACAGCGACCTATGCTGAAGTCACGGCCATAAGAAATGGACAGGCCCCCACCCTGCATGCACAAGCCACTCAGGCCCTTGCAGGATTGTTCCCTTTGCTCCCAGTCTGGTTTGGAGGGTCCCCTGGTATGGGGCTTCCCCTGCGAGGATGTTTCACAGCTGAGAAGAATAAGCAGGGACGTGGGAGGATGTCTGTAGCCAGCTGCGGTAAAGATGTGGGATGTGCTTAGCACTGCAGAGGGTGGGTGTGCTGTTGTGGGCTGTTGCTGCCAGGGACTAGGAACAGCCGTCCGTGACCCATACGGCCTGCCTGCGCCAAGTCAGTGGTGCCCAGGTGTGATGTCTGTACCTGGGGAGCTGGCACCCAGTCTTGTGTGGCAGGCTCGTATGGGCAGAGTCCAGTTCTGCATCCCCACAAGCCACGGATTATTACAGACTCAGAGGAGCTCTTCCAAGACGCCAGCGCTAGCTGGAGACGAGGTGCAGAGCGGCAACGTTTCCCCACAAGGCACTTCACAAACTCAAGCTGATTACAGGCTCGAACACGCGGTGCGTCTACATCAGTGCAATCAGCCGTTCAACCAGGGCAGGCAAGGGGCCGGCAGATAACGTGGACCCCTGCAGCAGTGTAGTGTACTTGACTCCGATAGAGAATTGCCCTGGGGGAAAAGCACCGTTTGTCCACAGCTACCCCAGGGTAACCAGTATTGGCTCCCTGCCGCCTCGAAGCAAGGCATTTAAGAGCGCCGGCATGATCAGCTACCGTGGGATTGCCGCCTATCTGTCCACAGGGGCTCCCGGTGCTATTTACATCAGTTTACAAAACCAGTGTAAATCATACCAGTGGACATGTTTCATGGGTCTCCCAGCATCCTTGTCGATTCTGTAAGCACTGAGAGGTACATATGACTTGGCCAAGGCTGCAAAGAGACTTGGTAGCAGAGTGGGAATAGGTTTCCTGACACCCAGTAGCAAGACCTGCCCCATGACGTGGCTTCTCCCTAATTTCAGCTTCCAGGGTTGGGTTGAGACCCATCCCAACAGGTGCATCCTATTGCCTTTCCTCTCCCAGCCCACTGAATGAACTCTCTAGTCTTTTACTCTGCCTTGCTATGTGACTGAGGAGGAGGCTTCAAGAAGGAACAGTCCTTATGTTTGGGAGAAGCTAGGAAAACACCTCCCAGCAATATTGAGCCAACAGCTTCTGCTGCTGGCATCGTAGCTGTGGGTGCTACGAAGAGGCATGCAGCCTTGCCAGGTTCCCGTGGTTAGGAATGGCTATTGACATTGCTGAGACACAGCATCCAAGGGGAAAGGAGGGAAAGAAATACCGCATGGACGTTGGTACATTTGACTTAAAAGGAAATTATTGTCCTTTTTTTCCTGCAGAACTTTAAATGTAGCTCTCAACCCCCCCACCCCCCCTCCTTACCCAAGTGAGCAACATGAGGGCTGTGCTAAATAGCAGCAGCGGCAAGAGAAGTGCAGAGACTTAGTCAAGGAGACGGAAAGCCATAACGTAAATCATTCAAGTGAGCGTGGTCGCTGTTAGGGTACTGCTGCAAGACCTCAGCCTGCCAGATGCTGTACACCCATCACGAGCGTCCCAGCGGGGAGGCAGTGCAAATAGATCAGGCCAACAATGGGAAAGTAAGCCACAGAGAGGGGAAGCGGCTTGCCCCAGGTGATCCGGTAGACCAGTTTCTGAGTGGGGAACTGGTCTCCCAAGGTCTTGCCTCATGCCCTGACCACTACACCGCATTGCCTGTGGAAAAAATAGATTCTCCTCCAAAGTGTGCACTGAGGCTGGTGATGTGATGCCTGCCAGGCCTTGCCATCTGTGGGGACTGAAGCCGTCGAAGGCTGAGGACCACCTCTACCC